CTATCTGTGCTCTGCCCACCACGGGTATCGAAAGTTGGTTTCTAGCGTTGTAAGTCCACAGACATACCGCCGTGCCACTGGGGGTAGATTTTTTATAACAAAGATAGCTATTAGACATTTTCGCCCTAGGTGTCAAGAACTGAAGGGCTTTTAAGACTCCATTGGCTTTTTAATAAGCTAGCGCTAAACCTAAATGGAACAAGATATTATTGATGAATGTTTTCCTCTTTTTTTTTATAGGAAACGTTTATTATTTTATAAAAAAATATTTTAGAATCACTAGAGCGTGAAATAAACACTTTTCCGTATGCAATAATAAAATGAGATATTTGTAATTTACAATTCTGTATATAAACCATATTTTACGATTTAGTTTTGATGGAAATTTCGAGATGAAAGGGATAGGTTATAAGACTTCTACAAATTACTAATCTTTTAACTTAAATTGCTCATCTTTGCAGACTTTTGCAAGTTAGAAAATCATCAATTATTTCAAAAAACTTGTTTAATTCGTTAAAGAATTAAATCTTGTGTCAAGAAAAAGCAAAGCAGAAATAAAGCTCACGTGCTCTCAAATCGGTAACTGGATCTAATTTGCAACTAATATTGTAAAATTAGGTCTCACAAAATAGTTGCTTTACACAACTACACATTATTATCTTGCTGTTATTTTGCCAAGTTAAGCCTAATATCCGTGATGTTTGTCTATCATCAGACATAAGAGTCACATATAATTTGATATTTTCTTTTTTTCAGAGAATAGTAAAAGCTGAAAATGTTAATTTCTTTTATGTAACAGATCATAACATAATGATTTTGTATCCTAATTATTCCTTATCATAGACCGTATAATAATAATAAGTAAATGTAATCAAACCGTGAATTATTTATATCTGTATGATTCTATCAACAGTTTTGGTCAATACCAAGGCAAGTGACGTCGCTATCGCACGGCCCTCACAAGTTCAAATTAACTTCGTTTATTATTCATTACCACAAAATAGACATTCGTCAAACGATAAGTTGTTTATTTCACTGTCACTTGCCTTGGTATTGACCAAAACTGTTGATAGAATCATACAGATCACTTGGACCGCCATTAAGAGATGTATTTTGCACTGGCTGTAGGACAGTCAATGACGGCGAGGTAGGGGTTTCGGCTTTCGCTGGAGATGGGCTGTTTTCAATATCACTACTGCCTAGTGGAAGAACATGCGGGGATAAGACATCACGACACGTCATCACTATATCACATGCAAACAAAAACAATTGTCGTGATAAGGATTAGGTAAGATAGGGTAATAACATACATGCTTTCTATTGTACGTTTTAAACGAACGGATAAAAAATATATTACGTTATTGTGCAAGATATGTCGAGACAAACTAAATATATTATTTAAATTAAGGAGGAGGAGAAATAAGGAAGAGAAATGATCGAGCAATTAATGATATAACTCCAATTAATATATATATATATATGCTAGTCTTCTTAGACAGAGTTAGTGTTAATCAAACCAGTCTCAATAAAGAAGCTGGCATAAGTAAAGCTATCTATTCTTGGTTACACACACACAAAGACGCTTTATTGAATATAACACGGGAGAATCAAACGATTAAACACTAGATAAAAAGAAAATTATTTCGTCCATAAAATATCGTTTACAGTGAGAGTACACTGATGAAACAGTGCATTCAAATTTTTACAAGTAAGAACGTAAGAAATGTATACTTAATTAGCTATACTCATTACCTAGTTTGCTCTGATGGGAAATGAACATTAATTGATAGATAAGTTTAAAATATAAAGAAAACTCAAGGACGTAAACTTTTTAAAAAGTTTTTAGTATGCACCTGAAAGCGAAAATAATTAATAACGTTAAGATATAACGGTTAAACAATCAATTGTGTGAAGTGTTTATTTGTTAGGTGTTTGGTATGTAAAGTTTTGTCAGTGGAGAAACAAGTATAAGCGGTGAAGAAATCAAATAATAAAGTTTTCTTCAGTCCCTAGTTCGGTACCATACATGTTTAATTCCTGATTTTAACAGGACTTTC